TGACCCGCAGTAGAGAGAGGGGATGTTCCTTTTTTGTCCTAGTTGCAAGTTCACCCTAGACACGCAACTAGGCCCCCTACACATTTTGTCCGAATTCCAGCTCCACCTTTGACACACAACTAAGAGAGGGGACGTCCCTTTTTTGTCCTAGTTGCAAGTACACCCTCGACACACAATTGAGAGAGGGGACACCTTTTTTTGTCCTAGTTGTGAGTCCACCCCGACATGCAACTGGGCCCCCTACCCTTTTTGTCCTAATTGCAGCACCAACTCAACATAGAACTGAGAGGGGGTGGTCCCTTGTTTGTCCTAGTTGCAAGCACATCCTCGACACGCAATTGGGCCCCCCTGCCCTTTTTGCTCCAATTACAGCTCCACTCTCGACTCACAACTAAGAGAGGGGACATCCCCTTTTTGTCCTAGTTATAAGTCCACCATCAACATGCAAATGCCCCCCTACCTTTTATCCCAGTTGCAGCTCCACCCTCGACACAGAACTGAGAGAGAGGACGTCCTTTTTTGTCCTAGTTACAAGTTCACCCTCGACACGCAACTGGGAGCCCCTACCCTTTTTGTCCCAATTGCAGCTGCACCCTCGACATGCAACTGAGAGAGGGGGTGTCGCTTTTTTGTCGTGGTTGCAAGTCCATCATCGACATGCAACTGGGCCCCCCTACCCTTTTTATCCCAATTGCCCGACCCATTTTTGTCCTAGTTGGAAGTCCATCCTTGACACAGAACTGGACTTAATCTATTTTTGTCCTGGTTGCAAGTCCACCTTCGACATGGAACTGCATGCCTGCAACGAGACTACAATCAGGGGCGGGAGGAGTGTTATCGGGCGGTTGTACCCACATTTTAAAAAATATTCATGATTTTTAGTTTTTATATTATTTGTAAAAAAATCATGAATAAAGTCGGAAAATTGTGATTTTTTTGAAAATCATAAATTTTCCAATTCTTGTTTTTAATTACATTTATAAAATCGTGATTTTTAAAATCTGAACTTTTTAATTTCAGGAACATTTTTCTATTTGATAAACTTTTTTGAATTCGTAAACATTTTTTGAATTTTCTATGTCCTTTCTAATTCACGATTTAACAAAAATTTGCATATTTTTATTTCACCAAAAAAATCAAAAATAATAGAAAATATATGTTTTGCCCTTAGTTGTATTTGACTGATGGACGGCAAGAAAACACAAAGTGGAAATAATTACAGAGTAGGCTAAGGAAAAGGCTTTGGCGAGAATTACGGCGTGTCTAGCTGCATCTACATGGGGTAGTTGCTCGTTGATTAATAGTTGAGTGAGAGATGTAGCGTGCTTAATTACTAGACTAGAGGAGGTAATTAGCTATGTGATGATAGCATGCTCGTTGAATATACGAGCCTAGCTGCTAGGTCTAGGATTCTAAGCGAGCAAGTGCACGTACATTTTCTTCTGAGGATAACGAGTGTACATACATGTTTTGAAAAGAACCATCGTGTAATTGGGCCTCCCAGCCAGCCGTTCCGCTTGGGCCGTCCTTGTTGGAAGGAGGCCACGACCGCCCGCCCGCTTCTCCAGCGTCGGTCAACACGGTTGCGCGTGTACTGATATCGGATCGAAGGAGGAAAAACAAATAAACAAACAAATAAGTGACGTAGCCTTCCGTGGATGTCACAACTTAAATGAGATATAATTATGTCTCATCTAGATGAGGCCTAGACAGACCTCATTTAATAACCTCTAGCCCATGATAAGTCCCTGTAAACAAACAGGTAGAGACTCGGAACTTATAAGTTAAGACTTAAAAAAATCCTAAAACTTATGAAACAAACAGGGCCTAAGTCTTATAGTGCACTGCGACATCATATGGACAAGACGAGTGGACAACCGTATCCAGCATCTCACTACTTTCTCTTCAGCCTTTAAAAGAACACCACTGGCCTGACGACGTAACTAGCACGTACTCACACATTCCTCTACACAATTCGTGATGGCTAGATTCTTCAGTCCAGCTCTCGTTCCGCTCGTCTCTCTCGTTCTGCTCCTGCGCTCCGGTGCATCATCGGCACAGCACACGCTGAGCGCCGGGTCATCCCTGTCGGTGGAAGACCACGAGCGGCCCTTCCTGGTGTCGCCGGACGCCACCTTCTCCTGCGGCTTCCTCCCAGCCGTCCACGTCGACAACGCCTTCTACTTCTCCGTCTGGTTCACCGCGGCCAAGAACCGGACCGCCGTCTGGACGGCCAACCCTGGCGCCCCCGTGAACGGCCGGGCTTCCCGTATATCCTTCGGCCACGACGGCGTGCTGGCCCTCGCCGACGCCAACGGGACGACTGTGTGGAACAGCAAGACCGGCGGCAACAAGCGCCTCGCCGTCTCCCTTCTCGACGCCGGCAACCTTCTCATCACGGACCCCGGAAGATTCCACCGGCGTTGCCGCGTGGCAGAGCTTCGACTGGCCGACGGACACGCTGCTCCCGTCGCAGACGCTGTCCAAGGACAAGAAGCTCGTCGCCGGCTACTACACCCTCTACTACGACAACGACAACGTGCTGCGCCTCCTCTACGACGGCCCGGAGATCGCCAGCATCTACTGGCCGGACCCGGACCTCGGCGTGTTCGGGAGCGGGCGGACCAACTACAACAGCTCACGGGTCGGCGTCCTGGACGACGCCGGGGTGTTCCTCTCCAGCGACAACCTGCGAGCCGAGGCCACCGACCTGGGCGTCGCCGGCGCCAAGAGACGGCTGACCGTCGAGCAGGACGGGAACCTGAGGATGTACAGCCTGGACGCGGCCGGAGGATGGACGGTCACGTGGGCGGCGCTGAAGCAGCCGTGCTCCGTCCACGGGCTGTGCGGCAAGAACGCCATCTGCGAGTACCAGCCGTCCCTCCGGTGCTCCTGCGCGCCGGGGTTCACCGCCAACTGCAGCGGAGCCGTGGCGCCGGAGCGGTTCAAGTTCGTCAAGGTGGCCTACACCGACTTCTACGGCTACGACCTCGGGTTCAACCAGTCCGTCACGTTCCAATACTGCAAGACCATCTGCTTGAATACATGTTCCTGCATCGCCTTCTCCTACCGGACGGATGGCCAGGGCAGGTGCTACCCCAAAGGCCTCCTGTTTAACGGCTACACCTCGCCGGCGTTCCCCGGAAGCATATATCTCAAGGTGCCTGGCGATCTCAACGCCACGGCACCGACGCCGTCCGCGGGCCTCGACTGCAATATAATGGTTCCGGCGCTGCCATCGTCTCGCCATACGCGTACACGTACCAAATATGGCTATTCCTAACCGGTTAGGCGCGCAACGCCTATCGCTGCCGTCGCTGTGCCCTATGGATGCGAGCGATCCTGGCCCACCTGGTCCCGCATGATTATCCCTCCTCCCATTTTCCCCCGGGCATATTGACTGAATACAGTCAAGTCGTATCTGCAGTTCTGCACGTACGGGGTACCCAGCGGCCACACAAGCTGGTCCTACGTTTTCGCCTTCGCCGCAGCACTCGGATTTCTCGAGCTTCTCCTTTTCTTGGTCGCCATGGCATGGTGGTTCCTGTCAGGACATGAGAGCATCCCATTCCCGAGCTCTCTGGAGGCATCGGGCTACAGGCTGATCTTGGGGACCCAGTTCAGGAGGTTCACGTATCGGGAGCTCAAGACTGCGACTGGGAACTTCAACGAGGAGCTCGGCCGGGGCGGCTCCGGCGTTGTGTACCGCGGCGTGCTTGACCACCGTGGTGGCGGTGAAGAAGCTGACAAACGTGGTGCAGGGCGAGGAGGAGTTCTGGGCCGAGATGACAGTGTTTGGGAGGATCAACCGTATCAACCTCGTGAGGATTTGGGGGTTCTGCTCCGAGGAGAAACACAAGTTGTTTTTTGAAATCGAAACACAAGTTGTTGGTGTACGAGTATGTGGAGAACGGGTCGCTAGACATGCACCTGTTCGGCGAGGACATCGGCAAAGCGCTGGCATGGGGTGAGCGGTTCAAGATCGCTTTGGGTGCGGCCAGGGGCCTAGCCTACCTTCACCACGAGTGCCTCGAGTGGGTCATTCACTGCGACGTCAAGCCGGAGAACATCCTGCTCACGCGGAACCTCGACCCAAAGATCTCTGATTTCGGGCTGGCCAAGCTGGCCGGGAGGAAGGCCATTGGCGACGGCGTACAACTCTCCCACATGAGGGGGACGACGGGGTACATGGCACCCGAGTGGGCGCTGAGTCTGCCGGTTGACGCCAAGGTCGATGTGTATAGCTTTTTTTTTGTTTTGAGAAAAGTAGAGTCTAGATTTGGTCCCTCAACTCTAAAACCGGACAACTTGCACCCTTTTTAACTTCTGAAACCGGACAAGATTCATCCCTGGTAACGGTTTTGACCGGTTTTGATGATGTCCCACCCCGGTTTTGACTGTGCCAACTCAAATTCACATATTTTTTCCAAGTCCGCGTAATGTTTTCAAAGTCAGGTACTTTTTTCAAATACGTGAACTTTTTAAAAATTTATGTACTTTTTTCAAATCCGCGTACTTTTTCCAAGTTCACATATTTATGCAAATCTGCGTACTTTTTTTAAAGTTCATGTAGTTTTTTCAAATTCATGTACTTTTTAAAATTGACGTACTTTTTCATGTTCGCGTACATTTTTTTTGGAAAGAGTTCATGAATTTGAAATTATTATGCGAACTTAAAAGAAGACGTGGATTTGGATTTTTTTTACGCAAAAATAAGCAGATTTGAAAAAATATGCAAATGTTAAAAATCACAGATTTGAAAAAAGTACGCAAATTTCAAAATTGTTCACTGATTTGGAAAAAGTATGTTTATTTTTGAAATATATATGCGACCTTGGAAAAACTACGCTGATTTGAAAAGTGTATGTGAATTTCAAAAAAATTCAGGAATATAATTTTTTTACACGAATTTGAGTATGCACTAGTCAAAACTGGGATGAGTCAGCACCAAAACCGGTCAATACCGAGACCAGGGACGAATCTTGTCCGGTTTCGGTAGTTGGGGGTGCAAGTTGTCCGGTTTTGGAGTTGATGGACTAAATCTAGACTTCATCAAAAGTTGAGGGACGAAAAGTATACTTTTCTCTTTTTTCTGAAAGACCCGACATATTGCCGGCTTCATTGATTTAGCAGAAAGCAGTGGAAATATAAGATCAAGCGATCAGGTGGATGAAAAATAGAAAAATACAGTTGCCCTCCCCTCTCTTGAGTCTAATTTTCGCTAATGGCGTCCCCGAAGGGAGACTCTAAGCATTTGGCTCCGGCCAGTCTCCATTGCTCGATATTGCTCCTGATTGCCGTGAGAACATCATCCACCCGCGGTGTTTTTTCCCGGAAAACGCAGTGGTTCCTTTCCCTCCACAATTCCCAGGCGATCATGATGATCAGCGATCTGATTCCGCGCCTGCAAGCGGTAGCAGTCTTGTTGATGAGGAGTTGGCAAGTCTGTGCCGAGCTGAGCCGAGACGTCGTGACTGGTGCCAGCGAAGAGCAGCCTGACCAAGTGGCACATTTCCCCCAAACCAGGTGCGAGAAACTGCAGCTCTAGATGAGGTGTGTAGATGTTTCCAAGTTCCTGGTGCACAAAGGGCAAAAATAGCCATTGGGCCAACCTCTTCTTTGCAGTCTGTCGTTGCACCACAGTCGATCTCTTATCAAGAGCCACATGAACATTTTGAGCTTGTTGGGAGCCCAGACCTTCCAGATGAAGCTGCTGTAGGCCGGGTTGGGGGCTTGCTGGCATTGCATCTGATAAGCTGTTTTGGCGGTGTATGTTCCTTCGCGATTGAGCTTCCATGTGATTTCGTCTTCTTGATCAGGAGCCATGGCAATTGGCGCCGCGTCAAAGAGTCGCCACATCTGCGGAAACTGAGGGGCTATTGCTGCTGTATCTCCATGTTGTAAATCTAAAATCCACTGATCATTTGCCAGCGCCTCCCCAATCGATCTGTTCTTGCGCCTCGCATGACTGAACAGAGCAGGGAAAGTTGTAGGCAGTGGCTCATTTCCGATCCAGGTATCCTTCCAGAAGTTGGTGCTTTTTCCATTGCCAACACGGATAGATGTCGCATTGGCAAACAGAGCCCTTTCCTGATCATCAGGACCTGGGGACACGGCAATCCAAGGCTTCTCAGGCCTTGCCCATGCAAGCCATTGCCAACGCATTCTCAGCGCACGGTTGAATTTGAGCAGATCTAGGAGACCAAGGCCTCCACGATCTAGAGGGCAGCAAACCTTGTCCCAGGATACTTTGCACTTTCCACCAGAGAGCTCGTCATCTTGTGCCCAAAGGAATCGTCTTCGCGATTTGTCCATTTCCTTCAGTATCTTTTTCGGTATCTTCAGTGCAGTCATCGCAAAAGTTGGGAGAGCAGAGAGGACGCATCTGACGAGAACTCTTCTCCCAGCAATATTAAGGAGCTTGCCCTTCCAGCCAGCCAGCCGTGCTTTCAACCTATCGATCAGGAACTGAAAATGTACCATTCTGAGGCGAGTTGGCGAAATTGGGAGGCCCAGGTAAGTTATTGGGAAACTGACAATTTGACCACCGAAGCCCTGTAGCAGATCCGGCACGTTCAGCTCCTCACAGCAGATTGCGACAACTGAAGATTTTCTTTGGTTCAGCTTCAGACCGGTGGCTTCTCCGAAACTATCCAACAGTTCAAGCAGCTTGCCCACCTCCTGCGCATATGGATTGGCGAAGATAACTGCGTCGTCAGCATATAAGCTGACACGCAAGCTTTGGCCGCGGCCCGGCAGGGGCGCCAGGACCCCAAGGTAAGATGCAACAGCAAGCAGGTGGTGGAGCGGGTCAATTGCGATGACGAAGAGCAGGGGGAGAGGGGGTCGCCCTGCCTTAACCCTTGCATATGCCAGAAGCGATCGCCCGGATCCCCATTTAGCAGCACCAAAGAGGAGGCCGGCGATAAGATTAGCACGATCCAATCACGCCATCTCGGTGGAAAACCTAGCTTTTGCATTAGCTCCAGGAGATAAGCCCAAGAGATAGAATCGAAAGCTTTTGCAATGTCTAACTTGAACAGGAGGGCCCTTTTTTTCTGTTGATGGAGCGCTCTGACATAGCCCTGCACGTATTGGTAGATTTCATGCAGGCATTTTCCTTTCTGAAACGCCGTTTGTGTTGGGGAAATCAGGTCTTGAAGCCGAGGCGCTAGTCTCATGGATAGAACTTTTGCAATCAACTTAGCCATGGAATGAATGAGGCTGATCGGACGAAAGTGACCCAACTCTGTTGCTCCATCCTTCTTTGGCAGCAAGGCAATGAAGGCAGTGTTCAGATCGGCAAAATTGCCACCCGCTAGGTTGTAGAACTTTTAGAAAACCACCATGATATCTAGTTTGATAATGTGCCAACATGATCTGAAGAACTTGCCAGTGAACCCATACGGCCCAGGAGCTTTTTCCATTGGAGATGCCTTGATGGCCGCCCAGATTTCTTGCTCACAGAAAGGAAGATCGATGCCTTGCAGGTCGACGGCTGGCAGCTGGAGCATGTCCCAGTTAAGTGTGCAGCTTCGATGCCAGGTATCCCCAAGGCCGCGGGCGAAGTGATCGAAGGCCAACTTAACTTTCTCCCACGGCTCTGTGACAATGGCGTCGCTGTGCTTGATTGAGTGGATGTAGTTTTTTCTACGACGTGAGAGGACGTGGGCATGAAAGAACTTTGAGTTTGCATCTCCCGCGGAGCCAAAAAATCCTGGAGGCCTGCTTCTTGCGAGCCCTTACAATTGCTGCCAGCCCAAGAACCTTTAGTTTTAGTTGCTTCCTCAGGTGTAGCTCATCAGGTGACAATGGTCTGGCCTCCAGCGCTGCGTCTAGCCTCATGATGACCTCGTTGGCGATGCGAAATTGAGGTTTCGCACCCCCAAACAAACTTTTGCTCCAAACCTTTAAATCCACCGCAACTCTTTCCATTTTCTTCTTCAATCTGACGAACGGGCAGTCATGGCAGACAGGCCTCTCCCAAGCATGCTGCACCATCTCTTGGAAATGAGGCAAGACTGTCCAAAAGTTTTCGAATTTGAACCTTGCCCTGGTGACATGCCTAACTCCATTAGCCAGCACCAGAGGGTAATGATCAGAGAACGAAGTGGAGGCCACCATTAGCACAAAGTTTGGGTGCATATCCTCCCATGCCAGGTTGCAGAAAACCTTGTCGATGCTACAAAGAGTTGGGTCCTCCCTCTCGCTGCTCCACGTAAATCTCCTATTTTTGCATTTGACCTCTTTTACCCCGGCAAGGTCAATTGCTCTGCGGAAATGGCCCATCATTCTTCTGTTGATGTTGGAGTTGTTCTTGTCCCTAGCTTGGTAAATCATGTTGAAGTCACCATTCAGCATTCATGGCTCTGAGGCAGCCGGCGCAACCGCAGCCAGCTCAGACAGAAAATTTGCTTTCTGCTGGTCATCCGTCGGCCCATATACTGTAGTCATCCAAAACGAGTGACCGGTGCTAATGATCCTCACCTTGGCAGTGATGGAGAAACTAGCGATGATCTGATCCGTGATGTCGATGATCTGCTTGTCCCAGAAGATTGCCGCGCCCCCTCTTGTGCCCACTGCCGGAAGCACCACGCAGCCCTGCAGAAGATTTCCCCCAACGTCGCAAGCCATTTCAGAAGTCCAAGCCTCTATTTTAGTTTCTTGTAGGTTTAGGATTGAAATCTTGTTTGCCTGCGCCACCTCTCTAACTGCAGATCGTCTAGCCGGCGCGTTAAGGCCTCTAACATTCGATGACATAATCCTATAATTTGTATCAATCATGGAGACAGGGGAGTTCGCTTCGTCGACTATCCATTAAAACAGAGGGGTTACAACACACATTACATCGACCCAGGGGGCACCGCCGGCCACCAATAGGCCCAAAATCCCGGCGGTGGCTAGAAACTGATCTTGCTGACTGAAGACTACACATGAAGACTAATCCTAACTCGAACTGGTCTAAAACTAGCCGTCGACGAAGACTACTAGTTAACACTAACATGATCAAGCTACATCCTCAGCATCCGCGCCGGCCATCCCGGCCGCGATTTCCAGTGCCTTACTGTCCAGGCCAGTGAGCTTTGCAATCGCCTTGATGTCGCTGCGGGACAGGGGCTCCTCGAAGCGCTTGAGCAGGGCAGCCGCCACCGATGGAGTCATCCGATCCTTTGGGCCGAGGCCGCCGAGTTCTTGGATGAGGTGCAGCGCCGCGTGCTGAGCCACGGGCACAGTGCAGCCGGACGCGGCCTGATGCGCGCTTCGGCGAGAAGGAGTAGAAGAGGCCCGCACTTTCAGGGGAGCTGATGAGCGTGGACGGGCAGGAGGAGCTGGCGGAGCGTCGAGGATGGCCAATGAAGGGGGGCAGAACAGCTGCTGCGGTCCGCCCACCTGACTGGTGCTTCCCTGTCCAGCGTCGAGGTGGAGGCAATCGACCTTCTGGGTGATGGTAGCGACATGGAAGCCTACAAAAGCAGGATCCGGGGTGGAGATGCATGGGCTGCTGAGAGGGGCGTCGAGGTCGGCGATGCATGGCAGAATGTCGTCTTCCAAGAAGCCGTCAACGGCCCCACATCGAGTCGAAGCGTGGGGCATTGAGCGGCCGCCGTCCTCAAAGGCCAGCGGCGAAGTGAGCGCCTCGAGCATGGCGTTCTCGATCTCTAGTTGCATGACGTCGGTACGAGGTGGAGGGGAGAGGGCGCGACCGCCTGGGAAGGAGAAGAACTGGGCCACTGGGTCAGGCTCAGGCGCACTCAGGCGAGCGGCCTCACGCGGACGGAGTGGGAGCGGGGGGGGGGGGTGGCCTTGAGGACGGGGCCCTCCTTTGCCTGCTTGCCCTGGTCATCGTGCCGACGGTCCGAGAGGGCCTTGTTGCGGTGCTGGGGAGCGGCCTCAACGACGTCAGTGGCCTTGCCCTTGGCATGGCAATAGTTGCCCAAAAAGGCGTCCTTCCAAGAGCACCGCAGCCCACCTTGGTTGCCATCACGGTCTGTGTCGCGCCGATCGACGACCGGAGGCCCGCCCCTGCATCCGGAGGCCGGCGCCCGCGAGGCCGCCCTCCTCCTAGGGGCCTGGCCGTCCTCGACACCGGCGGCCCAGGAACCAGGCTCAGTTCGCGGGAAGGGGCGGTCGTCGTCATTGTCAGAGGAGGAAGGGATCCCGCTCTGGCCCGAGTGCGAGGAACGCGGCGAGATCAGGGTCCAGTCCTCCATCCGATCCACATGGATGAGCATGTCGTAGCGGCGGACGCCCGGCGGAGGAGGGACGCGGCGATCAGGCGGGGAGTATCCAATGATCTCATCGACGCGGCCTGCTCCCCTCTTGAGCACCCAGAGCGCCCGCGTGGTGGGGATGTGCGCAACGCTCCAAGTACAGATCCAGCAGGCGAACGTCTTGGTGTGGCCGCGCTCCAGGTTCCGGCTGTCAAGGCAGTCGATGCAGCCGAAGTCGCCGAACGCCTCGTCCGCCCCATCCAAGGACCAGAGCTGCATCGAGGAGGCCTTCAACGACGATGCGGACGTGCAACGGTAGGCTCATGATGGCAGCGTGGTCGTCTTCGTGCCAGGCGCGGATGAAGAACTTGGAGCCATCCACCTTGATGGAGCCCCTCCACACGGCGTCGTCGCGATGCGCCGGTAGGTCGAAATGGACCAGGAACGCCTCCGGCTGGTGGGAGGTGACGCGGAGCTGGAAAGGCGGCGTGCCTATCAGCTCCTCGATGGCCTTGCCCACCGCCATGGGGTTTGTCGCGTGGATCCCGTCGATGGCAGAGAGCGTGACGGCGTGCTGGCGAAGGACGAACTCCTCGCACTCGAGGACGGGCGAGGCAACCACCACCTTGTTGCTGACCCGCGGCCGCCGCGTCGGGTCGCAGTGGAGGAAGCGGTCCATGGCCGGAGGGGGCGGAGAGGGGCGGGCCGGCGACGGGAAGCGGAGACGGTCACGCACCGGAGCCCTGGACGGAGCCGGCTTCAGTCTCTCGCAGGCGGTCCCTCCTGGACCCCCGTTCTTCGGGTTTTGTGGGCACTCCCAGGCGAAATGGCCCTGACGCTTGCAAAGAATGCAGCGGAGAGGATCTTTGCAGTCCTTGCGGCGATGAAGCTTGCTGAGACACCGGAATCACTTCCCTTTGAACCTGCTTAAAAAGATGTCGCGGCCGGAGTGAGCATTGAAGTCCCTATGGCGGTCCGAGCGGCGCTCCGAGGAGGGGCGCGGACGAACCGCAGGTCTAGATCCGGCACGCCCCCCTTTCCGGGATCTGACCTCCGTCCAGCCAAGATCGTCCCCCGAGGGGGAGGAGTTGGCAGCAGGGGTTGGGGCGACCACCATGGATTTAAGGCGCCCAAGCCCATTGAGGGGTGACGTGCCCAGATCCGACGGGCAATCTCCGTCTCGCCACAGGATTCGCGGCGTCGAAGTTGGATCTGAGCCCGCGACGGTGGTAGCTGGAGATGATGGCGAGGGCGGGGCCCCGGACGGACCGCGCGACGACGAGGAACCGCAGGGTTGGGGGGAGCGCCCGCGTGGAGGAGCAGCCGAGGCGGGACGGGACGGGGCGGTGGCCATTAAGGCCGGGATTTGTGGCCGCCGCGGCCGGAGTGGCCTGCGGCGCAGAGGAGCGAGAGCGGAGCTTTTTGGGCTGCTTGTTATCTTCTGGCATCGTGCTTCTGGAGATCCTGATCGGGAGCAGGATATCTGACCAAACGACCAACGGGGATCGATTGGAGATGTGCCAAATCATGCAGGCGCTGAAGAGGATGGTGGCGACTGGGGAGGTCATGTCATTGTTGGATAGTAGGTTGGATGGGCAATTCAACCCTTGGCAAGCCATGGAAATGGTGAAGCTCTCATTGGCGTGCATGCAGGAAAGGAGCAACCGGCCGACCATGGATGACATCTGCAAAGCTCTTACAGCCTGCGATGACGAGGACGAGCACCCTGCCTACTTCCGGTGAATTCGATCTGTCACTATATTCCCCTGGATCTACTTTTTTTTTTGAACCGGGCGTTACCCCTTTCCATTGCAAACAACGGAAATACAACCAGTTCCGAATACAGAGACAGGGAGAGGGAAAGAGGTAAGGCGAGTTCAAGCATTACCAGGAAACCCACTGCCACTCGGGTCGCCGTCGACCCGAATGCTGTGGGGCGAAAACCTGGTAACACCTACAGTTATCAGATAACTAAGTCCCGCGACACCCAGAGAGGGTTACATGCCAACACACCAAAAGTATCATCAAATCAAAAGAGGGGAAACTACTATGAGGAAGATGGCCCTCCCAGCAGAACACTTCATTTCGTCCTGTCCTCAACGCAGTGTACCTCCACCACGATCTTCACGCTCCTCCAATTGGCTGGGCAGTGGTCCCGCAAAGTCTCATCAGCTGCATCGTGCTGGCCCTGGTCATCTCGGCACCTGAGCGAAGCTTGTCAGCGTCATCACCCTTCCGCAGTCCTGTCCAATACAAAAGAAAGGAGCATATAGAGAACACAATTTAAAAGGGAGACTTAATTTGCTTTTTCTCAAAGGTAGCCTTATTGCGAGCAAGCCAGATCGCCCAGCAGGTGGCAGCAAGACCAACAGTATAAAACTTATCCCCTCCTGGAAGAAAGGAATAGCACCAAGCAAAGAATTGCCAATAGTTATCGGGACACTTATCGGTACCAATAGCCACCCCAATAGATCGCCACACCACCCTAGCGACCGAACAAGTAAAGAACAAGTGCTGGGAAGTCTCAATTTCATTACAGAATGAACAAACAGGGTTCCCAGGCCAATTCCTGTGACGCATCACCTGTCTAGTCAGCACTGCATCTTGCGAAAGTTGCCACATAAAATTTTTAATTTTCAGTGGAATTTTGGCCTTCCAAATCCATTTATAATGGCACCCACTGAGGGTTTTCTCCAGCAACTTATAAACAGATTTGGCACTAAATTTACCATTCTGATTCAAGCTCCAAACCACACGATCCTCTTTGTCAGTTAAAGGAAGTTTATTAACCGTATCCAAAACAACCCCCCATTGCTCAGACAGCACGGGAGTGAGCCTTCTTCTAAGAAAGGAAGCACTATCCACATTCAACACTTGTTTGATAGTACATTCAGGAATATTGCAAATGTCAAAGAGTTGAGGGTAATGCTCCTTAAACGGAAGCAGTCCGTTAATGGAGTCACTCTATACCCTGGCAATGTTTTCAGACTCGATGTTGATCTTTCTACCAGTCATGTAAACTTCTTGTAGCTTACATCTTTTTCTTCCTATAATATGTTGTTGTACCGCTATAAGAAGTGACAAAATATTGATGTGTGTAGTTTTTTTTTCTGCGGGTATTAATGCGTGTAGCTAACTATTCTATGAGTTGGCCTTTGTAATGGCATGTCTACTTAATACAACCAACAGGTGGCTCTACTATTAACCATGCTGAGAGAGAGGGAGTACATCCATGCATGCCTAATTGTTTACAACGAGATTAAATGCTTTGTTAATTCTGACTGCCTGCGTTATGATGTACTAACTATTAAAATGTGTCAACACATCTAAGACTAGTCATAGTGGGGAGTAACTTAGAATAGTAACATGCATATATTATTACTCTTGTAACATATGTGTTGTGTCATGTATCACTTCATTTATTAGGTTATAGACTCATTTTTTCTTAATATGTGTGATGTTACAGTAACTAGCTATGTTATCACATGACTCTTTTTTTATTAATTACATGTCACCTCATCTATTTTGTCTAGATAAATGTGATATTATCCCTTATGTTACTCTCATTATGGATAGTCTAAAAGAAAACTTGCATGACTTGAAGTCCACGGTATGGTTGCTTGACTCGGAGTCTCGAGTCTCCGCCCGTTGCTTTCCCGCACTCATATTTCATTCTTTGCACTACTGTGAAATTAAATCATCGCGTGGCCCTAACCATACGAACATGTGATGGGAAATTAATACGAGTATGATGAAAAGCTGCTTCACTCCAGTCCAAGTCCTCTTCTTGCTTTCATGGGTGACGCTTCTTAGGGCATGTTTCGTTCTAATAAGTTACTTGACTTATAAGTCAGGTGACTTAAAATCAATGATTTATAAGATACGCCTATTTGGTTGTCATCTGATTTATAATTTACCTAGCCATACCTTCTCATCTTGTTTTTTATGCAAAGATGATGAAACACATGCAAAAGAGGGTGACTTATAAGTTTTAAGTTGGGGTGGAGCAACTTATGACTTATAAGTTGAGGTGACTTATAAATTGAGTCTGTTTGGCAAAATAAATCATTTTTTCACTTTTCGATTTATAAGTTGGTGATTTATTTGGAACCAAACATGCCCTTAACTATATGAAATTGTGGAATTAAGCGTGTACGATCCAGCTTGACTTGACTCCAGCAGAGTCCAGTATGTGCAGGTCTCCTCCGTGTCAACATATACACGTACGTGTCGTCCTCTTATACCTGCAGCATGTACATGTTACTTTCCTTGTTTGTTGGGCCCGTGTACAGTGATACTATTTTAGGATTGTCATGTAGGAGAAATATTGAGTTGCAGCTTGCAGGACAAAGAAATCATAAAATAAGTTTGTCTTCTCTTAGTTAAGGGGTGATTTCTTAGTAACAATATGTCTCGCCATATATTTAGGATTATCTACTTGTGAGAGATAAAACTAAGACTAAGAAGTAATTCATTGTACATTATTTTTTGTTGTCGTCTCTTAATAACGCGACGAGTTGATAAGACGGTATATCACCACCATACATGCTCTAATCAGCTTCTCTCGTTATGCCTGCATCCTCGAGAATCTTCAAAGTTAAGTAGGCTACAAAAGGCCAAAAACCAAAAGGACCCTTTCTTCTGAAGTCCTCCTCTACGCCCGAGCTCAAACAAGCTCGGGATAAACAGTAAATCAAAAAACATTGAAAAAACTTTTAAAAACTGATTTTTTAATGCAAACTTTAACAAATGTTCTAAAAGCTTTCAAGATTTCATCATGAAATCACTTCATGAAAGTCGTGGCAAAAAAAAAAAACCAGTGCTCCAAAATGCTTTCGAAAGTAGCATTTTTAGAGTATCGATTTTGTTTCTTTTGCCACGCCTTCCAGGAATGTGATTCCATGATGAAACTTTGCACGCAGTTGAAACATTTGTCATCCTTTGTAAAAAAATGAATTTTTTGATTTTTTTAATTATGATTTTACTATTCACCCGAGCTCAATGGTGGATGCTTGCAGGTGGCCCCGACATTCCATCGTGCGTGTGGCAGCATGCGAGATGGCGCACGCAGGCACGACTGAAAAGACCACATGACGATGGCCCTAGCCGCGCCCGCGGTTCACCCATCATGGACCCTGAGGCCATCTATCCTGGTGTGCGCCGACTAGACAGAACGGACGGCAGGAGCCCGAGGGAGGCACACAGAGCCAACACGAAACGGACGGCACGGAGGCCAATGTCGCTTGCGGATGCTACCATGAGAGGACAAAATCAGAGTTTTGGCCTTTTTGAATAACTTTAGCATAAAATAAACCTCGCTGAAAATTTTAGCATGATCTGACCTCTTTTCTGGAATGTCAAACTGCTTGTCGTTGCTACTGCACTAAGAAATGTCACAACCCATAATGTTTAATCTTGGGAAACGCCACAGCCCATGATGTTTCACCTTGGAAAACACCACAACTCATGGCATTTCACCTTGGAAAACATCGACAAATTCATCATTTACACTAGAAGATTGGTTGTTTATCAAAAGGGTAAGTTCGTGCTAAAAATTCTAAAAAAAAGTCTAATCGTGTTAAAGTTTTCCCAAGGGTTCAAAATAGCGATTTTGTCCCTCATGTGGCGGGTCCTCCAACATTCTTTATAATAAGAGTATATAATATTAAAAACATACCAAAATAATTTGGTACATACCAAATCCAAACTGTATCTTAATTTTATACCATAATTACTGAAGTATTAATATCGTATAAACCGAACCATGTAATAAACTGAATAGACCGGATGCATAGAGTTACTCCTCATGTGCCCTGATCGAATATGAAGTGTCAGTCTGTCGTTCTCGAGCCTAGTTTTCCAAAAGTGCTGATGACAATATGCTTCCAGTATAAAGTGTCATTGAGCCCCTAAAATCGTCAGGCATCTTCACTAAGTCTGTTAGAGATCCTGTGCTTGGGTGATAAAGTTGTAGGATGCACCGAGAATCATATAGATCTTCCTCTTCTTTCTTGAACGCGTTCAACATAAGTATCCTTCCGTCAACGAAGATCTCCAGTACTTTAAAAAAGCGCCAATTTTTAGTCATTTGTATCGTACACTCTCTTTTCCATGTGCTCTTCTCAGGATCAACTAGAAGCCATATGTTAGTGTATAGGTCACCTAGATAGCAAGGTGACCATACGGTCTGAGTAACGCTCAAAGTATTTTTGAGCTCTGCTAGTGTCATCTCCCAATTTTCATCCTCCCTCGGGCACCCGGTTGGCGGCCCGTCGATCATCGCCTTCCACTCCTCGCTCAAAGTATTTTCTGTTTTCTTGTGTACAGCCATCTTAAGAAAAGAAAACTCTACGTACGTACATATCTTTATCCATATGTTGTTTCACAGTGGAGAATCAAAGCAGGGCCTATGTATGTATGTATGTACTGTATCTATGTATGCCAACCTACTTCAAGTAGGCTAGCCACCATAATAAAGAAGAATAATTGGACGTTGGTTCTATATAAGGATAGTGGTTGAGCCGTTGAGGCACATATTGGGAACCACTTGGACGCATGTATAAAAGACAAAATTAATAAAGTCGTCAAGATTGTTAGAAAATTTAAAATTTTGAAAAGTTCTATATTGATTATTACCCCGCTCAGCTGTCCAAAACTATGTCATATATTAATAAGTTGTGGCCACCGACAAAAAATATCTTTTTCTAGAATACCCACAATCATGTGTATCATAGAACAGAAGA